GCGGAGAAACAGCTGAGCGCACAGGTATGAAGCGTGGAAAAAACAAGTCGAGCGCACGTAGAGAGAGAGCCGAGCACACACAGAGATGGAACTAAGGGCAAGGACAGTGGTTTGAGAAGTTTTTTTCAGAGTTGAGCACATGCCAGACCGGTTTTGAGTGGACACTTGTTGTCTCACTGTGCGCTCGGATTGGTTCTTGCGTGCTCAAACAGAAGGCACAAATATCGCTCCATACTGATGCTAGTCGGTTAACACATTATAGCATCGGATAACAGTGGGTTAGGTAGGTGCAACCACTAACAATAACCACTTGTAAATAAATGAAGTTGGGATATATATATATATATATATTCCATTGTAGGTAAGCAATAAACTGTTATCATGCTCCATTGTTTCTGTTCTAAATACAATGGAGGAATGTTAAACAGTGTTTTAACGCATTCACTTAAAGTAGATTGGATTGTAAGATATTTCTGCCAGTTTAAAACAACTGTAAAATACTTGCCCATAAAATATGTCACTGTGTGTGATTAAATATGCACATAAAAGGCATTAAATTGAAGGTACATGTTACATCTTCCTTATGGCTTCCCTCATAGCTTTGTCACCAAGACAGTCATGAAAGATGCAGCTCTGCTCCTCGTTTCTTTGTGTCTTTATCTTTCTGGTTTAAGGAAAGCTAATGTTGATGTTTATGTCTATGATGGAATATGTCTGATAGGTAAAGTAAATTACTGAACTATTAAATGGGCTGTATTGACAGTTAAATGAGCTGATTTGTTCAATAAATAAGTCGAGAGAAATTGGAGTAAAAAAGACTGTGTCTCCAGTGTGCTCATTTATGTGCTGTTTATCAGCTTAATCTGCTACTGACGGGGTCCGGAACCCTGGTACCCGTTGTTAGGTTTATTCAATGATGATTATAAAATTAATGTGTGTTCATATGAAACATTGTAGAAATGAGATGCTTTATTCTGTCTCATGATTCAGTCAAGAGACCACACTGCCTTGTGATTCAGTCGTGGAGCGTCCTGTCTTATTGACCTGATCAACTTTCCTGTCAGAACAATACTCTTTTTGTAACCATGTGTCATGTTCTGTTAATAAAACGCTCTGCAGAGGAGGTCCGGGGGGTGACAGTGTGTTTGAGTCTGGGGTTCAACTGTCTCTCCTTCTGCAGAAGCTGTTTGAAAATTCCTTACTGTGTATTTCAGTTCTTCTTTTACAAACCTACATTTTTTAACCCAACACCCGTTATAAATGTAAATATTATTGACGATATGACGTATCATTTTATCTGAGGTCTGTGAAGGACATCAACATACAGGGATCCATTTTGCTTTCCAAAACCCCAAATTAGCTCAGTAGGTTATAGGTTTGATGAGAGGAGTTTTCAGAGAGAGGTGTGGAGAAGCCTTTATATTGGTTCAGCATGTTGGAGGCCCTTTACTTTGCTTTCAAATTCACTACTTTTACATTTGCTAGCACCTCAGTCACTCACAGCATTGACAAATTAATGTGCAGTGGATGAATCACATTTAATTAGCGGTTAGAGCAGTGCGCTTGGGCTCTGAGAAGGTGGAAAGTATCCGGTAAAAAAATCACTTCTGAGATTGTGGCATGATCCACTGTGTCATGTTTAGGCATGTCTGCCTCTGACTGTGACCCTCTGTAGATCAGGCTTCTCTTTCCAATGAACTTGACCTCATCTATGATACACTCAATCACTTAACGCCTCCTTCCCACCCACACTTAATGAAAAAACACTGATGTCCCATGTGGTGATCGTTTTGATGGTGATACCCTTCTGCACAACTGTAATTTCCCTCTGGGATTATTAAAGTATGTCTGATTCTGATTCTGACAACCACTGTATAGATTGCTCCTCTCATCTTCTCCTACTCTGTGATGAATGTGTTTTGTGTCTGTCATCCTACTGATGAAAGAAGCTGCTTTCTATTGCCTTAGCAAAGGCTGTACAAAGAAAACAAAAGGGGTTGTCTGTCTTCACTGCTTTAAAGTTATTTTAGGTTAAAGTTTTTGGCGTATTCCCATTTAACAGGGTGCTTTAAAATCAACAATACACCTACGGAAAATTTTGTTTTAGAATATAATATAATATAATAGAATAGGAAATCCCTTTATTGTCCCTCAGTGGGGGAATTCTGGTGTTTGCAGCTGCAAAAAGATGATAGAAAACATGGTCACACAAATGTGGACCTTAGAAAAATGTATATAAAAAATATAATAGTGAGGAGTTAACTTAAAATATAAACAATAAGATACTGTACTGTAAAGTGTTTTTAACAATATAAAACTCTTCACCTGGAGAATAAATAATCAATATACAGCTATGGATAATTTTACAGTGATGGATATTTGAAAATAGCAGCAGTATCAGAGATGTGCATAATGACAGCAGCATGTTATTTAAGTAAGGTAGAAACTGTGCAAAATCAGCATTAATGTAACACCTATTGAGGTTGTTGGGAACAGTGGTGGTTATAGAGTCTTCCAGCGGCTGGGAGGAAGGATATGTGATAATGCTCCCTGGTGCATTAAGGGTGCAGCAGTCTGCCACTGAAGGAGCTCTCCGGTTCTGCAACAGCTTCATTCATGGGGTGGGAAACTTTATCTAACAGAGATGTTAATTTATTTAGGATCATTTTGTCTTTTTCCACCTACTGCACTGAGTCCAGAGTGCATCCAGTCACAGAGCTGGCCTTCCTGATCAGCTTATCCAGCCGTTTTCTCTCAGCTACAGATGTAGTTGATGGAGCTTTCTGCAGTGTACAGGGTGAAGAGGAACGGTGCCAATAACCACTAAAATCTCACAAATATTAACATATTGTAACTCAGAAAAGAAAATCACATCCTCTTCCAGCTATTGTTTATGTAGCTTATCTTTTTCAAAATAAAGTAAAAAGACTAAAGAATAATTTACATAATAGAATAATACACTGAGAAACATACAGCGATAAAAATTAATCTTCATATAGTGTTTCAATACTCACACAAAAGAATATGGTATTAGATGTTATTAATACTGCAAAAAAAAAAAAAAAAATAACCCTCTGTGTTTATTTTTGACTAATCTTGACTTAGACTTTATATTTCCCAAAATAAAACTCAAGAATAATGTCATATATAATTTCTCCCTGTATAGCTTTCTCCTTCCGATAGGAGGAAGGAGAAAGGCTGCCAAGCATCAGGATGTTACACCAGATGAAAAGGTGTCTGTTTTTGACATTTGACAGCATCAGTTTTTAGGATTCTTTCCTTGTTTCTTAGGCTTTATCCGAATTTGGCAAATCATTAAGTCAGTGTTTACCATGAAAAGTGCTATCTGAATAGTGCTGGTAATAAGGAAGGAGGTAGGAAGAGGAGGCTGATAGTTCGGTTTGCAGACAGCCCTTTGTGGCAGCTGTTCCTATCTGCTGCATAGGAGCTATACAATACCCATAATCCTTTGCGTTTACAGGCACAGTCCACCTGATGGAGTTGAACAATCAAATATATTATTTTGTGAGATGTTCTGTGTTTTTACGGATGCAAAGGTATGCGTCTGCGTATTTCTGGGGGTTTTATAATGGAGTGCTTATTCTTAAGTTTAAGTTTAGATCTTTTCCAGGAAGGCTGTAGTCCCAATTTGACAAGCATCTTCTGGATGTCTTAATTATTTTGACGTCCGTAAGGCTGAAGGCTTTGGGAATTTAGCACAGCTGTCCTGAGTTCCTTTCCTACCCTGGACAGTGTTCCTTCTGTTTACCATGTGAATGGTGAATAGATGGATCTAGAAACAGGAGGTACAGTAGGAGCTACTACAATTTGTCTGACCTGGAAGGAGCCTCTATTTTTGTGCTCCTCTGCAAACAGAAGCATAAACCATGAAATAACAAATTAAGGAACACGGGAACCAGAACAATGCATGTAAGTTAGGGAAGGAATGAAGAGAATCCAGCAACCAGTAACTGCAGAGGAGGGGTATATTTGCCAAACAGAACAAAGAATGGAGTAATCAACTGATTTGGGAGCAGGTGTAGATAGAAGGAACTGAAATGGAGCTGGGGGTAAGGAGAGTAGCACCAGGGGTCAACATAGAGTAAACAAGAAATACATAAGAACGCAAATATAACTGGAAAACAACTAGAAACACACAAATTGGAAATTAAACCAATTACCTAGAAAAAACAGAATGACATAAAACAAAGTGTAACTGAAAACTCAAAAAGACAACTTAACCAGAACCAAACAGCACAGAACGGGCAGAATCATGACAAGAACTTGTTTCTACTGCTCTTGAGTCCATTGACTGTGCAGAGCTCCTGAATGCAATCCAACTTTTCAAGAAGTAGTCTGGATGCATAGGTATTGGATAATATTATATAATATTATATTGTATTTTCATCTTTCTTTTTATTTATTTTTTTGTATTTTCTCTAAAGTGACCTTGAATGTCCAGAAAGGCGCAGTTAAATAAAATGTATTATTATTATTATTATTATTATTATTAATATACACCTTTTACCTCTTAAGTGGTTAGAAAACCTGGATTTATTCATTTAAAAGGGTGGCTGAACAGGTTTGGAAATACACTCTTGTGTGAGACAATGTAGTCATGTTTTTATGACAGTAGATGGCAGCAAAAACTATGCCTGTTCTGCTGTTATTTTATTTAGTCAGTATTTTTTATTGGTACTTATATCTACATGAAGAAAAACTGTAATTGATCTAAATGAAGCCTATCTTATGGAAACTTACTGAATAAGATCCCAGTCCCTTTTTACACTTTTGTTAAACAGTTGATATTAGCTTAAACAAAATATGATTGCATCTTGCTTTTCTTTCTATGCGTAGTAAGACTACAGGAGTTATATTTTCATTCATCCACAAGTAAAATATTTAAAATAAAATGGTGTGGAATAAAGGCATTTCAAGATATTGTGAAAATCTCAGTTTTATTTCTTCAATGAAATTAAAGACAAAACTTTGACAATTGTTTTTGGTCAGTTGAAGACATTTATCAGCATCAAGGTTAACACAGTGTTCATTAAGACAGAAAGTACCATATCAAAACTGCTTCAAATACGTGATTGTGGTCAGAAGGTTACATATATGAACAATTTGCATCACTGCTAGATTACTTTGGGGGTTTTAGTGATTTATTTAGACAGTTTTTTTCTTTCCCTCAAATAAAAGAAACAATTGGGTTCATTGATAAGAACTTTTTGTAAATTTTCTTTTATTTAGGCATAATCCAATTGAAACACACAGGCCCAAATATAAAGACACCTCCCCCTAATATTTGGTGAAGCTAAGGAAACTAGAGCCTTTCTTCATTATTTCATCCACTTGCTGCAATGAACCACTAACACTGACAGCAAGGAAGTACTGCAGCTCTACGCTGCTACCATGCAGGACTAATCAGTATCTTATCCTCTGGTCTTGGTTCTTGTCATTGTGCCCAAGACTGCAACCTTCTCCAGGAGGCATCCTTAAATGCCTTTGAGCCTGAAGGTACCAAACCAACTCAGTTTGAGTCTTTTCGAATCCAAAGCATCTTAAATTATCATCTTTAAATCAATGTTGGATTTAAAATTAGTTCCTCAGCTGGTGTAAGTTTACAGTTCCCTTTATATCTTAATTTAGTTCCCTAGACTTACTGAAAAAAATCTTTTTTATCCTTTAAACAGAAAATTACATAGGAACCTGCTGTGAAACTTACATTTTTCCAGTTAAAGAAATTTCAGCAGCACTCATTAAAACATGTAGGGTAATGTAGGAATATATTTGAGTCTTTGTGTTTAACTTTCCCGAAATGGACATAAGAAAAATACTTCTAATATTTAAAATTTAATTTAGTTTTTTATGAATAACAATTCAACCATAGAAAAAAGACACTGACATTGCAAAACCTGTTGATTGTTTGTGGATCTCTGACTGGAAGTGGATATTTTCCTCTTAAAAGGACTACATGGAAATACTCAGGGGTACAAGTTAATCAGAAGACAGGAAACAAATCTAATGTTCAGAAAGACAAAGGACACATTCACCTGGGTAGTAACAGAACACAGGCAGAGGAGAGACTTGCTTAGATATGTCTGCTATGAAAACCTAAAAAAACCTAGGAGTAAAGATACCCTAAGACTTCTATACAATCTATAAACTGTAAATGTGTTTCTGGTTGTGATAAAATGTAATATTTTATTGAAGATATCTATGTTCATGGTAGTTTATTTTTTACTTACATCTAATCAGTTTTAACATCCCTCCTCGCCAAAAAAAAGAGAAATACAAAACAAACAAACAAAAAAAAAAAAAAAACAACAACACACAAAGCATTTTTAAATAGTTGCAAATAAAGTATTCTATTTTATCTAAACGCTGGCAGAAAATATCAGAACCTCCACTGCCAAACTCAGACTAAAAATAAATGCTTTATGCAAGGTGGATGTCATATTATTAGGACAAATCTATCTTTATAATTGAAAGGCAGAATATTAGGAGGACATGAGCAGTGTCTCACAATTTAAACCCATTAAATATTCCAATTTTTTCCTTAGTTACACATAAATATTTCGTCATATTTTCATTGGGAATCATGTGACAGAGCAGCACACAGTAGAGCATGATTATTTAACAGCAACAGGAAAATTTGTTGATGAGAAGATAGATGGCGCTAAAACAAAGCAATCCTGGCTGCACCCAATACTAGTTTGAGGGAGAAGTTAACCTCACAGCTCCAAATTATAATGCCAGGGCTAGAATAAAAACTGTTTAGATCAAAACATTTTCATGTATTTAAATAGCCAAGTCAAAGTTAAGACTTGAGAGTGTTTGACAAACACTGGTGGTTTTCAGAACAATCAGAGAATTAAAAAATCAGTCTCTAGACATTGAAAGATGAAGCATTCTAAAATAGTTGCAGTTATAAATGCAGTCTTTATGTTTTCACTCAGGTAACCCTAATGTAAATGTATTTCTCACATGAACAAAAATGCATATGTTAAAAAAGTGAATTTTTTTATGCTGCTCTGTCATGTAAATTTCTAGTAAATTTGCACAGGTCTGTGCTTGTAATGAGATTTAAAAAAGTACTCTGTATCAATCTGATTGAAAAAAAAAAAAAATTTGTCCTGAACCCCAAAAGTAAATAGAATATTCAGCTTTTTTTAGATTAAATGACTGATGATCATTCTGTAAACCATGTCAGACTGAATTGTTTTGGACTGTATATTCAATGACATGCCGTTCCCTGTGAAGAGTTGCCCTGAACTGCAAAAGTATTAGAAAAAAGCGGTTAAAAACATTCATCACAGATTGTAATATCATTACTGTGGATTGTGGCTCCAGGGTGGTCAGAAGGATTGTAGATTTTTTCTGTAGGAAAGTGACCTTCTTAAAATATGTGAAGGTGCTTCTGTCACATTTTAGTATTAGACATTAAAAACCTGAAATAGGGTTTCTCAGCAATCACTCAAATGCTTAAGTTTTTTTTTTAAACATTTTTTTCCCCCTCATCATCTCCCTTTAAGGTTCTATTGCTCATGAATCTTTCATAATTGTAAAATGCCATAAAAGATATTCAAAAAGGGAACCATGTTATTTCTCAGGCTTGCATAGCTGATTTCTTTTTGTTTTTAGGTGGCAAACTAACACAATAAATGCAACACAAACTCCTTTATGACCAATATGAGCCATCGTATGCAGACTGAAATCAGCAGCATGTGGACACTGATATGTATGCTGCCCACACACTGATGCAACTTGGCAGACTTTTCCGCTTCTTCCGGAGGAGGTATTTGATTGTCCAGGCAGTTGAGTGCCTGTGTGGGAATGTGTTGTGCTAAGATGGATGATAAATGAGCATCTAAAGCACGTGATTTGTCCGTCAGTTCATGTTGTCTCTGGTCCTGAAAATGTTTTGAATCACAGGAATTGTAGGATGCCTCTCTACGGTCCCCCGCAGTAGGAATAATCTGCTTTGTTGTGCATCACCAACTTGTTGTCCACAAAGTAGAAGCTGTCGGATTGTGTCTCATAAGGATGTTGGATCATCTCACGCACTAAATTAGAGAAAGACAGAAAAAACAAACAAACAAACCCATAGAATTATCAGGGTTTTGTTGCAGTAAATGATTTCTCTCTGTGTGGGGTTTGTTGCCTTTTCTGGTGTTGTTGCACTTTGATATGAGCCTTTATATGAAACACTTACTGATTTCCTCGGAGAGCGTGGGGAACTCGTAAATGTGCTCACAGGTGTTCTTGCTGCTGGGCATGCAGAAGCCAAACTCAAAGTCGAAGCTCTTTAGCAGCTTGTCGCGGAAATAGTGTTTCTCGATCATGCGGAAGTTGTTGATGGGGGTATCTCCCACTGTGAACTCCACTCTGCAGCAACACAAGAATAGAGTCACTGAATGCGTTGCTGCTTGATGCTTAGAAAGTGTTCAAGCTGGGCGTTTTTTGGTGTTCAGCTGGCAGCTGTTAACTGATAAAAAGGCTTTCCCCTCATAGTTTGTGTTCCCTTTGTTCTGGATAAACCTAAGACATCACTGCTAGATGCAAAATGCACAAATTACTGAACATATTTCCAAAAACTCCGACACTCCAAAAACATGACTGTTAGGTTGACTGAGGTCTTTAAACTGCTGTGAGTGTGTGTGCATGGTCATGTGTCTCTGTATTTCCTCATAATGGACTGGAGATCTGTCCAGGGTGCAGCCGCTTCTCTTGCTGGAGATATCATATTGCTGGAGATAGCCACCAGCCCCCTTTAACCCTGACAGATAATCATCAGAAGATGCATTGATGGATGGTTTTGTTATTTTTCTGACCTCAAACAGCAGCTAGCACTGCTACAGGAGATAATTACAGCTTTAATGTAAACAGGAAGTGCAGATATAGTTGCTGCTGAGTATTTTTACCTCTGTCCCCCTCCCTAGCATTTCAGTTGGCATATTGAGTTTTTAAAAAACAGTATATTGTTTCATTCCATTTCTATTTTACTAAGGGCCACAAGAGGAAGCTCTACAGCAACAAAAGCCTTGTTTATTTATTGGATTATGAAGCACATACAATATCAAAGTAAGTGATCAAAGGGCATAAAAACAAAAAACAGAAAACCCTGGTTTAAAACCAGAGAAAAAAAATAGAATTCTGTTACAAAGAGCTAAAATATCTAAAATTCTAAGCAAATGCATCATTAATTTGCCTTAAAAAGGCTCTCTGATGGAACCAGATCTAAAGGAACAGCCCCGCTTCTAAGCTATTAGTCCCTGGAACAACTAAAAAAATCTGACCGGAGGACCTCAAGTACCTGCTACAAACACTTAAAAGTTTGGATAAATAGAAAAGTTCAAGTTCTGGAGGGGCTAATGGGGATTTATGCTCCAATGGGAGACACCACCATAGCGGGCATTGCATTAGTTGAGTCTTGAGATAATAATGCATTAATGACCTACTGCAGGTTAAAAAGACAAAAGAAGCTGCTTAAAAATGGCGAAAGGACATATTGGAAAAAAAGCCTGTCTTGTCCACAGATATTTTTTTCATGATAAAATCCTTATCAAATATCAAATATAAAGTCAAATTTTTAGATAAAAAAATCAAAGCACTGATTTCTGTAGTAGAGATGCAACCAAATAAATTACATTAAGGCTTTTGTTTGTAGCCCTGGAAACCTTTATCATTTTTTGCTTTAATGCTGTGAGTTAATGTCCTGTTTGGGAAACACCGTGTGTTTACTACTATTGGGCCATATTTCTTTAGTGTAATAAAAAAAAGCAGCAGTGATATATATATACATAACGGATAAATAACAGACTATATATAATTTAGCCTCAAACTACTAGTCTCTGCAATATATTTTTTTTATGACACTGCAAAAAACAAACTATTAATTCAAGCACTGTGGGAGATCATTGTCAGGATTTGGTTGTGGTTCGTAGACCCAAATGCAGAGGCAAGGAGGCAGAGGTGATTTTCTTGTGGGTTTAAAGAAAGGTTAGAGAACACAGAGGAAATCCAAAAATCCAAACATAAAAAAAACAAACAAAGTCCAAGCAAACCAGAAACCAGGAACCCAAAAATCAAACATATAAAAAAATTCTAAACAAACCAGAAACCCTGGAGACATCGGGGGGGATACTAACACCAGAAAGAAGGCTCAGAGAGACGGAGTTGGAGGAAGTTAGATGAGGAACCAGCACTAAAGAACTGCACAGAGAGAGTATTTATGGGAGACTGAAACAAAGAGAGGGCCAACGAGCAGATTGGGAGCAGGTGTGAACAGAGCAGAAACAAGGAAAGGAGGTAGGGAAAAAGGAGAACATAAGAGGGCAGCAGAGGACAACAAATAAGAACCTGAGAACTGAAAATAACCAGAAAACACAACAAAATAAGAATGAAAGCACTAAAACTAGAAAACATAGTACAAAGTAAAACAGAATACACAAAAGGAAACATAACAGAACCAAGACTATAACAATCATTTTCAGTTTAATATGAGCTGTTCTCTATGTGAATTATCTGCTTCATTGTATTCAAAACCTTAATCAGTCACAGAGCAGGAAGGAAACGATGGACACCCTTTTTTGAACCTCTCTTGCTGTTGCAGGACTTCAATCAGACAAGTTGTTCTCACTGATCATCAACCTGTTGTTCCATTATTGGCCCCTGCAGGCCTCCTACATCTGCTCCTCTGTTACAGTAGCGGTCATCAAACACACACTCAATAGTTTGACTTACGTGGCTCCAACCTGCCGCAATTGAAGAAAAGCTGGGGTGAACTGGTATCTGACAAATCGGCCGGCGTTGGGGTCACATTGCTTTAAACCAGCTGAACAGCAAGAGGGGGAAAGAAAAACATTGAGGTAGGTTTCTTTGCATAACATTGGGAGTCTAGATCAAGAGGCCTGGGTCTGACCTGGTGTTGGGGGTTTGGTGATCTCAAAAAGGACCGTTCCTGTTTCCATGTCACGGATTTTAAACCGAGTGAAGTCAATCATGTGGACATTTTCCTCAGGAGAGCAAAGATAATCTAAAAAAAAAAATGTATTCAGTAAACATTTTTTTTCCTGTGATTATGACAAGGGTTTTACATTTCATCTTTATCGTAATACCTTTCTCCATTCAAAGAAACAACACTTACAGAAGTGAACATCAGTGTAAATTTAAACTCAGTTAGGCAAAATAAAACACACACAAATTGTTCACATACATCAGATTTACTATAATTAAATCTGGACGTACACTAGGCTATTTGAACAAACTGAAATGCTTTTCTCTACCTAAGTGTTGACAGAACAGTAAAAACAGCTATATAAAAGAATTATTATCTAGTCTCTCACTACTGTGTGCCTATTTATGTGGTGCTGCTGGTAGGAGAACATCTGCCCTAAATTCTAAAGACTATTGCAACAACTGAGCAGTTTTCTCCTTTATTTTTCTCCTTGGTTTTTCTATATTTATCAACATCAATATTAATGTCAACCCTACCCAGTTTCCGTGTCTCAGGTGAGAGTATCCCCATAGCATCCTGCTGCCACCACCACACTTCACTATGGGTATGATATGTTCAGGACAATGTTCAGAATTGGATTTATATTAGAAAAACTTTTCTCTTTGGCTGAACAGCTACATTTAGGTCTTCTCTAACCATAGCAGATTTTTCCACATGTTTGCTGTTCCTAAGGTGGCTTGGGTCAGACTATTAAACAGGATTTTTATTAGATGCCGTAAAGGTTAAATCAGTGGGTTCCTGCTGTCAGATTATACAAACATCGGCCAGGATTGTCTAGAGGAGTCGGGGGAGCTTACCACTCTCCTCTTGGCTGCTTCTTCTCTAAATAACACTTTCTTTGCCAGGTAGAACAAGTTGATAGATACGTCTTTTTTAGTCAGCAGTTTTTTGCTCTTTCAGTTTTCGGGCGATAAATGTTAAAGCTTTTCACTGGTTTTAAGAGCTTTTTTTAACCTATCCCTTTTCCCAATCTAATTCTTTCTGATTTGTCTGGTGTTATTCTCGATCTTTATGATGCTGCTGATTATTTAATGTCCCCTAAAAATCCCAGAATTATGTCAAAAACTATTCTTACTCTTGTCAATGGCAATGACAAATGGAAGAAAACTCAGCTTCTGTTTTAATGATATAGTTAGTGATGAGGTTCAAATTTGTAATATTACAAGGTCTCCTTGCCATTACTCTAATTTTTATCAGCACTCAAACACATTTGCTATTATTTAAGTTGTGACTCTGCCTTGGCTGTTCCAAATCTTTAATACTACTTCAAGTCAGGGGAAGAATTTCAAAAATCTGAAAAGCCATCAATCATTTTACTTCTTCTTCGCAATTGTGTGCTTCTGGTATCAGAGTGTGAACCGTTTTCCTGATTTCATCATAAAACTGAATACTGTTGGCACCAGAGCAAGCATATTTGCTGGTCCTCTCTTATTTTGTTAAAGGTTAGATTTAGAAATAAGGTGTGAATTGTGTTTAGGTTAAGGTTTGGTATGTACTGGTAATTGTTAGGGTTATTGTCAGGGTTTAGGACATAGAAATGGTTAAAATAGCACTGTAAATCAATGTAACTCAATGGAAATCCGCACATTCACCTCTCTACATATTTCTGTATTTCTATTTCATTAGTTACTCTGTGTGGACACTGTTAGGTCAATTTCCCAGGAATGTGCTACTTTTAGGGACTTCAAGTACTTGTGGGTCATCTGGTCTCCATGATAAGAAATTCACTTGTTGAGTCGAGGGTTCTGTTTAGGACTGATCTATGGATTTAGTTTAGGTTAAATCTAGGGTTAGATATATGGTTAATGGGTAGGGTTAGGGTAAGGGTCTTTGTTAGTCTATGGAAATGAAAGAAGTCAATGCAAAGTCTCCGTAAGAATAGCAGGAGTGTGTTTGTGTGGTCATGCGTGAGACGCTCCGTATCCAACGGGACAGGATTAGACCTAAGAGGCTTATTGTGTTTTATCATCACATGGACCGACTGGTTTCAAAGCAATCACACACACTCAAACACACACTGTCTCTCTTAAAGACAGGAATGCTAACTATAGAAGTCTATGGAGCAGAACTGTTTGTAAGCAGAGCTTTTAGAGTTTACTGTAAACCAACATTAGAAGCATCTGTACCTTTATTCCCGGTAATAACTCACACATAAAGCTGTGCTTCAGCATCCTCTTGTGTTTCTAAGGGTTAAGGAGCAGATGGGCAGCTCAGGCTTTAGCCACCTGCTCAGAGATATTTATAAACCTTTTTCATAAAGTACAGTGTTTAGCAGCCAACACCTTGTCTGAAAATATCCTTCCTGTGAAACATGAGTATTTAGAGCCTGCTGTTTGCTGTAATGGGCAGCGTGGCTGACACTGAACACTGAAAAATATTTACGAGCCGACAGGATGCACTTAGCATGAGTCTGAGGTGATTCACTGATTAAAGCTGGAGCTGTGCAAATCGCTTTAGCTTAAAAAATTAATAGAGCTATTAGCTTAACCTAGTCATTCAGAAACAGAGTAATATTGTCCACGGGATGTATAATTTTCATCTTAAACAACCGCTGAACACCATAACTCCCTCCTTTGTGTATAAGTTTATAACTGATGCTGACATTGTTTTTTTCATGTTTTCAATTAACTTCACTATTTGCACCTCTTATATCTCTACACATTATGACTAAATGTACTTCCTCCTCAGTGAAAATTACAATATTTTAGGGTTTTCTGCTCACCAAGCTGCTAAGTTACTCCCAAGCACACACACACACTGCAATTATATGTATATAAAACATAAATTAAACCACATTACAATGCTGAATTTAAATAAAAGCATCTGTTCCCATGATTTGGATAGGAATTCCTTCTACTGGTCACATAACTGAAAGTTCTTGTTTACTTTCAGATACTTTTGAGAAATACAATCTGATTTTAAATGATGAGTGGGAGCACATTTTGATCATAATCATTGCCAAAAACCAACCAAACCAATCTTTGAAACCATTTAAGAATGGTTTATTTAATTGGCTTTTCACTTGGATATTTTCAGCAGATAAACTTTTATAATGGTCACTAATAGTATGATTCAGCAGCATTAAAGCAACATTCTAAGACTCTCAAATACTATAAATCAATACGATGCTAAATTCTAATTGCGCTGCATTATAACAGTCTTACAATCAGCATACCTTTTGCCTGAATTTTAAAACAATATGTCATTAAATTTGGAAACCGCTCCTTTGTTAACCTTTTTTATACATTAGCTTTGCTGCACTCCTAAAACTCATTTAGAAACTGGGCAGAGATAGGCAGGTGAGTGAAAAATGTTTTTTTTTTGTTTTTTTGCATGTGTAATGATTTCTTTATAGATATCGTAAGAAACACACAATTTCAAGATAAAATGACGCATTTCATACATAAAAGAATCTGTAACCACATAGAAGTCATTACTTATACATTAAAAAAAATATATTGGTCTTTAGGGCAGATTAACACACCAGAGGAAGGACCACACAAGCTATTCTACATAGAACAAAGAGAAGCTTGATATCTTATTTTCTATTTAATTAAATTACATCTGTTTTTGAAAAATTTTAATTTTGTTCTTTTAGATAAATTCAAGGCTATTTCACATATTGTTATTTATTTATTTTTTGCACTACAGGTTATTTATACACATTCTGATACAGTTGTAACCAGAAAGTATTTTGTTGCACTTAAGTATCACTAGATGATGCATAAAAAAATATGTCTGTAAACAGCCCTGCCAGAGATGTAATGAGATGGTAGGTATAAGAAGGGTGGATATCTAGACCCTCTCATAAAATTACATAACTAATCAACATTTAAATGCTTTGCTAAAAAAAATAATGTACCCAATCTATCACAAAGATCACTGCCATTCTATTAAAATGATGAAATTCATACATTTTATTTTTCTACATTTGTATTATTATTTTTATTTTTTAGATACCAATTTAACTATCTATTTGCAACTCCAATGTTTATTAAAAAATTGTAACACATTTTAAATTAGGGAAAAGCTTATGAAGTTTTTTTTTATTAATCACTGTTGTAAGTGTAGTTCCTGCTTTATTTCTTATCTATTAAAGAAAATTACAATCACAATGAGAAAATGACAAAAGACTAGTTCTCTCTTTCCATGAAAAGCAAAAAAAACAGGAAAAACTAGAAATTACTAATATATATGTCAAATTTGAGTTATATTCCTCTGAAATATATTATGAATTATGTCTCTTTTCATTTAATGTGAGGAAAGAAATTTTTTCAGATCGAAATAAACCTGCTGAAGATTAGATTTTAAAATTCAAGTTTAAAACTACGATGATTAAAAGGCTTATTCAACAACTACACCTACTTACAAAGGCTGAGAAGGAGTCCAGCTTATGCATTTTGCCAAGCAGATCAATGATCCACTGATTGTTAAATGCTTTGTGATCAGAGCCTGATTATTCAAAAATCTGTCAGTACATTCTAAATTTGTCTCTCAACCATCTTTGCTTTCCCAGTTTTTTTTTCCAAATATTTCACAGATATATTTTGTGAATCAGACATGGCAACCTGCTGGGGAATCCAGATGGACTGTTTGATCCGACGGCACATTCAGTAAAGTCCCTGTCAAAGCGAACGCTGCAAGAGCTTCCACATCATTGTGTCCCTTCCACAGTCATACAGGCTCTGCAAATATCCCACTGATGTCACAGTCTGAGCTCACACCGCAGCTTGACTACTAACAATGGCCTGTACTGGATGACTTTTAGAGATTTTAGCATAGACCAAAGCTGTTCTTTACAAAAAGTAGCACAGTTCCAGACAAAATACAACTATTAAATAATGACTGATTAAAAAAATATGTAATGATTAATATAGCCTGGTTTACCGACTGTTTTTCATCCAAAAAGAGATCTATACAGATTTAATGGGTTTGTAAAGTTTCAGGCTCTAAATTTCACACTGATGGTAGCAAACTACATTGTAACCACAGACCCACTGGGGTGCGCTGACAAAATG